GCAGCCAAGCGGCCCCACCGCCAGCACTTCTGTGGTACAGTCCGTGAACATCAGCTCAAAGCCAGCACTCAGGGCCTCGGGGACCTGCCCCACTGATCCCTTCGATGTATCTCCACATGGCTCTACCCCGATACACTTTCTGACACTAGACTTCTTCCTGCTCTTGCAGGCCTCCGTCTCCCTGACATGTTCCCGTGCCTCTGCCGCCCGGCCAGCTCACCATCTCCATCCAACATTCTATTTGTCCTAACGCTCTGAGCTGGCTCCCTGCTCGTTTGTTTTTTTTTTTTTTTTTCTGAAAGTGGGTTGTGTTTGCAGTTCAGTGTAAAAACTGCTCCGTAAAAAACCGTGGTGTTCTTATTCTTTTAAAATCCCCCTGTAGAGGTTCCCTCCACTGTCCTGTGGTTCGTTGCTGGAGCTGAGGCCACGGCAGAGGCAGGTGCTGGCCGGCAGCAGATCTGCAGTGCTCATCTGGCCCACATCCTGGCTGATGATCTGCTTGATCAGCTGCACTAGCTCAGGACTGGGGACAACAGAGCTCATAGAGTGGCGGCTGGCTGAGGAAGGTGGCGGGTGTCAGTCCTATGGGGGTAGGTTACTGATTACTGGCTTGGTAGGCTCCAGTCCTGCAGACGACAAATCCTGTACTGCCATCTTGCCATCCCGATGCGGAAGACTGGAATGGCAGCCTTAACCTCCACGTGCTCTGGGGACTCGGATGCCTAGCTGGGTGCCACATGTCCCTCCCACTGGTGTTGACCTGAGGACATCAACCTGCTTCACAGGATTGCTGAAGTATGGAAAGGCCTGCGAAACGGAGACCTCACAGTGCTGACTGGTGACCCGACCTACCTCCAAGACTGCTGTCCTCACAACAGCCTCCCTGTGGCAGGCCTGGTCACCCCTAACACATGCCAGCTGGATTTCCTTTAACACCTTCGTCATCCTCTTGTTCAGTTAGAGGGACATAAGTCGACAAAATGCAAATAGGCTTCCTGAGATGGTAGCTGCTTTTTTTCCCCAGAAGGCAATGGGAGGAGAAATGGAGAGAAAGCATGGGGACGAAGGACAGGTCTCTAAACAGGATCGATCAAAGATAGGGCAGGGAAGGATCCAGGCACTGTTTAGTCGCAGGCCTCTCCTATCCTGAAGGGGCAAAGCTGTGGCTCTCCCTCTCTCATGGCTTGCTCGTGCCTGCTCCCAGTAGCACTTAAAGGACTAGCTTAACAATGTCTAGGACCCTCTGCCGCAGCAGAGGTTTCCCAGGTAACAGCTGGAGGCCGAGGAGGACCGGCTTGCTTGGGTTGGAGGCTGGAGATGAGGACTCTGCGGGTCCTAATGCCTCTGCTTGCTGCCTGGCGTCTCCAAGTCTATTCTTTCTTCTTCGAAGCCAGCTTTCGTTTCTGTCCCATCATGCTCTGGCACTCCTGCTTTCCTTTTTTTATTTTTTGCTTTCTAGACGCTATAACATAAACAGACCAAGGGGAAAGAGCATTCAATATTCTCTAGATTATAGGCACATTATTCACTCCGGGTGCTTATCATGCTCACGTGCATGATTATAAGCCTGAGAAAAGGGGGTCAATGGGAACACTTACTCCAGAGGTATTTTTGAATGAAGGATCTATAAGATTAGGAATTCATTAAGGTCACAGGAGATCGAAGAGTCATATCAATAAGAGCAAATATTTGGAACAGGCTCCGCCTCCTTTCGTGGTTGCTAATGAGAAAGGAGAGGACATGGTATCCAAGCCCATCTTCAGAAACTCTTCAGAGGATGCTCTGGAGAGAGGGATAACGGCTCCCCTTTCCTGTTATCGATGGCTCAGCAGCAGCAGAGGGCCCTCACTGTACCCCTGACCTACTGGGATTTCTCTGACCCATGGGCCTTAAGAAAAGAATGCCTGCTTTTTTTCTGCACACAGGCCTGTCATAAACTGGAGGATAAAAAAGTGGCCTTTAGTAGGAACTGTCAATCAGGATGGAACTACTTAATGAGTAAACCAACAGGGTGGAAAGTCTCCACAGCTGCGAGCATGAGTTGAGAGCCACAAAGATCAGATTCTTGTTGGGTGAAGCTTGATGTGCTTTGTAGGTCCTTGTGTTTCTTAAGCCAACTTTCGTCAATAAAGGAGGCATTTCCAGAGTTGCACCGAGAAGCAACAGAGAGGACCGTGTATTAGGTACAGGATCCACCCTTTCTGTGTGTGTACTAGGGAAGGTGGATACCAATGGCCAATTTCTGTTGGAAAATGGGCGGAGTAGCATTGGCCTAAAAGCAGGCCCAGCGCCCGTCTAGAACCCTGGACAGTCTGGGAGGACGGACGGACCCGTTTCTTTTGGATGACATTGGACTTGAGGCTAAGCCACAGGCGTGAAGCTTGCATGACCAGGAGTGGTCTTCCCAAAAGGCCCCTCAGCAGGCTGAGCAAGCAGGGGATGCAAGCCAGTAAGCAGCTCCCCTCCCTGGCTTCTGCATCAGCTCCTGCCTCCGGGTCCCTGCCCTGCTGTGTGAGTTCCCGGCTGACTTGCTTCAGTGAAGAACAGTGATGCGCAAGTGTAAGTCCTCCCCAGGCTGCTTTGGCCAGGGTGTCTCATCACAGCAATAGCTTCCCTAACTAACAAGACCCAAGTGTGCTTGTCTCAAAACATTCCCCAAAGCCCCCTTCCCCGAGTCAGGCTGGCCCTCTGACTCCGTGACAGGGAGAAAGGAGAACAGTAAAACAGCCAAAGAGTAAAGGTCTGTGACAGTTATTTCCAGATACAGGACATCATGATCTTGGCTCAATTCAGCATTGCAGTGCCTACCTACAGCCAAGAGATATGGGCCCGCTATGGTTTAAACCTAAAAATCAAATGATGGTTAAGTCATCCCTCCCTCCCCTCCCTCCCTCCCTCCCTCTCTCTCTCTCTCCCTCTCCCTCCCTCTCTCTCCTCTCTAGGAGGGACCTCATACTGTGATTCTAGCCACTCTGACCGCTATGGAAGTGTCTGAAAGCAGATCCTGGGTTCCTCACTCTTGGTAGCTTCCTAGGGCTGATTGCTGCTGTGGGAGCGGTCTGGAGCTGGCTGCCCGTCTGGGCTGGGCTGTAGTGCCCTCTAACACGCTCCTCTCCACTCCTGCAGCCCTTCTCCTACAGATGCTCCTGCAGATGGGGCACTCGATGCACTGCCTGCCAGAATTTTACCGAACCCCCTTGAACAGCCCCCAGGAGTCCGCTTCATAAAAGTCCCTTCCCTCTGGGAGCCGCAGCTCCTAGACGCCACCCCCTGTCAGCAGGAAGCAACTAGAGTAGCCATTGGCCATTCCCCAGCAGCAATCAGTGTCAGGGAGACGGTAGGAGGGTTAGAGGGACATAGGTAAATAAGGAAAGCGGAAGATGGGCTCTGTGAGGTGGGGCTTTGTGTTCTCACAAGACACCGAGGAGAAATGGTGAGAAGACCTGAGGCCACGCGTGGGTGTGGTGGGGGTAAGGGAGGGATGGTGTCTAAACAGAACAATGGGGAAATGTGAGGACCCCGGGCCCTGTAAAATACCCAAGCCTGTGTCCACTTGTCAGACTCCCAGCCCTAGGCCTCTCAAACTCCAAGGGATAAGGCTTCTACTTTCCCTTTCTTGCGGCTTCCGCTCCTGCCTTTCATAGTTGTTCATGGCTGTCCTTCCGTGCCAGGGAACAAACCCGGCAATCCTCCCGCGCCCCCATTGCAGAGCTCATGAACCAGGGGTGGTCTTTGCCCACACAGAGCAATGTCCCTCCTTTTCTCTGATCCAAGCGCCTTTCCAGCGTGGCTCTGTGCTTAGGCCTGGGCCCTGGGCCTCTACTAACCGAAGAAGTAGGCAGAGGAGCGGGTGAGGGACTGCGGCCCTGCCAGGGCTGATTCAATGGGCCCCGTTTGCTCGAGGACGCCTGGCCTAGTGGAGCCGGGGCAGGCTGCGCTCTGATACTACAAGTACCCATAAAGGGTGAAGGGGAGGACGAGATTGGAAAGTGTGAGCTACTTCGGAGAAGGCTGTGACTCACCGTCTGGTCCTTGGGGGGGAAAGGAACCTTTAAACCGGCAAAGCTTACCCTCCCCTGCCTCCACCCTCCCCACACAAAAGAGACCGTGATGGTCACACTCACCAAACTCTGACATTTGGGGCAGGGGGGATGAGAGCAGCCTGGGAGGAAGTGATGGAGAAGGGAAAGCCAGAGGCTAGGCCAGGCCGAGCTTGCAGCAGCCCAGCCCCTTGGAGGACATGGGCCTCAGCAAGGCTAGGACGGGAGCTGGGGTCAGGTAACTTGGAGAAGGACCAGGGATGGGCAGGGAGCTGATGACGTCATGCAGCTTTGTAACTGGGCAGGCGGCAAAGCCGAAGCTGGAAACTATTATTGTGGACAAAATGTTGAACTCCGAGCTCTGGACCAGGTTGAGTTGGAGGACCCCAGGGGTGGAGCCTTGAGTCCAAAGGCCCCACTTGGGAGTTGCCAGTTGTGGGCTCCATTCTGCTGGGGAGGTGGGGAGGGGGAAGCACTCGCTGGCCTACACAGGTAGGTTTAGGTCTCTCCCCTCTGTAAAGGCCTTGAGGCTGCCAGAGAGATGGAGCCGCCTGGGTAGGTGTGAGCCGGGCTAACTCCGCCCACCGTGAGCCGGGCTAACTCCGCCCACCGTGAGCCGGACTAACCCCGCCCACAGTGAGCCCGGTTAACTCCGCCCACAGTGAGCCTGGCTAACTCCGCCCATAGTGAGCCCGTCTAACTCCGCCCACCGTGAACCCGTCTAACTCCGCCCACCGTGAGCCCGGCTAACTCCGCCCACCGTGAGCCCGTCTAACTCCGCCCACCGTGAGCCCGGCTAACTCCGCCCACAGTGAACCGGCTATCTCCGCCCACAGTGAGCCGCTCCAGACACTTCACTTGGGCTGGAAACCCGACAAAAACCTCTGCCACCCCGAAGACTCAGTGCAGCTGGTTTTTATTATTAAAGCCAGGGTTGTAAAATGGCTGCCCCTGCCCTCCCACCCCCTCCCACCTCCAGATCCGTCCCCTCATGGCCTGTGAAGACTTGGAAACGTCCACGTTGAAATGAGAGAATGTCAGATGTGGTCTTTGTGATTGTGTCGGCTCCCCCAGCATTCCTGGGGTGAGGCTGGGCAGCCCCTGCTCACAGTGCTGTCCCCGAGAATCCGGGGTGGGCATCAGGAACGAAGGCCACGGGATAGGCTGAGCTGGTCCCCACGCTCTACCCTGCTGAAGCTGGGCCATAGGCTGGTTTTGTAAAAATGGTTAAAAAAAACCAGAAACACAAAACAAAAACCCCAAACCCCAGCCATGAGCACCACCCTCTCCTGAGTAGGCCGAGAGGAGGCCCCAGCTCTGGACTCTGAGGTCTGAGGCATGTGGCCTCTGCCTGGCATCACCTCCCGGAGGCAGACAGCACCCTGAGGGAGGCCAGGCGGGATCCTGAGCCCCATTTGTGGCCCTGGGTGGCCTCTGGGGTCTTGAAAGAGTTTCAAGATGGCTGTCTCCCCTCTTTGCACTCAACAAGACTGCACGCTCTCTAGGCCTCAGGAACCCTATGCAACTTCGGCTCTTTGGATTCCAAAGATCTGAACTTCTCCTCCAGCCCTGCTGTGGGCTGCAAGTGGATGACAGGCTTGATCTGAAGAACAGGGAGGGCCTCCTGGTTCTTCTGGTTGAACAGACTTACCCTGTGCTCCAGCTCAGGACTGGTCTGGGCTGAGCCCGCAGGGGTAGGCTGGGCCAGGGGTGCTGGCTCCAAGGCCTTATGGGATGGGCAGGGGTCCTTTGACAGAGAGGACATCAGGTCCTGGACTGTGGCCTCTGCCACCTGCTGCTGAGGGGGAGGCAGCAGTGGGTGGGGAGAAGGTCCAGGCTCAGAGGACAGCTCTTCTCGGGGGGTGCTACAGTCTGTGGAGGAAGCCAGTGTGTGGCTGCTGGCGCTCTGGGCCCTGGTGACTGAGCCACAGGTGGAGTGGGAGGTGGCCTCCGAGGTGGCACTGGTGCAGGCGCTGTTACCACTGAGCTTCAGAGGCAGGTCAACTGAGAAGAGGTCTGAGGAGATGTTGGGCTGGTGGATGTCTATGGCAGCTGTAGTGACCACACACACTGCTGGCTCTGGGATCCCACTGTCTGCAAGAAACGTAATGTTAGTCATGCTATGCCTCTGCCCACCCGGCTGGACTTGGAAGCCCCGTGTGGGGCTGGGCAGCAAGTGTGGCCAGGTCTTGGGAAGTAGCCATGGTGAGGCCTTTGAGAACCGAGGTCACTATCACTGCCTGCACCGAGAGAGATGCTGCCAATCCACCTCGTTGAACCGAAGTGCAGACATGTGACACTCAACAAGCTACCCATGGAAAGGGGCCTACAGCACTTCCCAGTGGAAACTTTAGAAGCCGGCTAGTGCCTTGCCCGTGAGGCCCACACTATGCTCTGTCAGTGGAGGCTGCTGTCTTCTGGGTGCTGCGGATGGTCTGGGAGTACAGCCTCGGACAGCTTGCTGTGGGTCTTTATTTAAATCAAAAGGCAGAAGTGTCTCCACAATAGACTAGCTTAGCCCATCCCAATCACCCCAGAAAGCCTGTCCCAGGAAAAGGAATTAGGGGTCTGTTGAGGAGTCATTGAATTATTATTATTATTATTATTATTATTATTATTATTATTATTATTGGTATGTGTGTATGCACATGAGCACAGGAGTGCCTGCCCAAGTGTGTGAGTGTGGAGGCCAGGGGCTGAAATGGATGTCTTTCTCTAATACCCTCTACCTTATTTTTTTGAGAAAGGATCTCTCATTTACCAGGATTTACCAGGTAGCTAGCCAGTGTGCCCCTGGGATTCACCTTGTCACACCTGAGGGAGTTTTAAATGGGCTGGGATAGGACAGGCACATCCTGAGTAGTCTGCTTTCTGCAGACTGATGAGCCTCAGAGCAGTCACCATTCAGCAGCTCTTTTCTCTGAGAGGCATTGGGGGGTGATGGTGGACTATTCTGGGTAGAGAGCTACAGGGTTCTCCCCAAAGTTAGGGGGAAAAGACTGAGAAGATGGGTCAGGGCTGGAGAACCAGCAGTTGATGAGGCTAGGAGAAAGGAGAAAAGAGAGAAGTTGCCTTAAGGGATTAAGTAGTGGAGAAGAAAAATAATCAAGTGCAGGTTACAGAGCATATAGTCTATACGTAGAGCAGAGAGTGCAGGAGTTTTAAGGACCGTGAAATCCAAACTCGGAGTCTAAGGCTTTGGCTACGGAAGAACAAGATGCTAAAAGGTCTGGGTATAAAATCAATCTTGCCCCCTAGGAAAACACACCAGGTGTCCCCTAAGATTTCAAGGGTGTGAAGAAAGCAGAAAGCGTGTCAGGACTACCCAAGGCCTGCTGCCCCTTTAGCCAGATATGCTGAGCAAGTTTGCTTTCCATCAGGGCTACCTGAGCATGTCTCTAGTCAGGGTGGGAGATCGCTTGAGTTCGGGACTACAGCCTCTTCCCTCTGTAGGGGCTCCACACTCAACCCTCATGAGTCAGAGATAAGATGGCCCCGACCTTGGCACCTTGTAGGCTCGGCTCTAGGGCACCAGAGTTTCAGCTAAGAGTCTGCTGAGGAGTGGAGCTCCGGGTGTATTGACGCTGAGTTCTACAGTCCAAGTCCACAGGCTCATAATGGTAGGCCTTGCTCCCTGAAGCCAGGCCAGATTGTACCCACCCTTGGGATGAGGGCTTGCTGGGTCACAGGTGTCCTGGGGCTACGGAGTTCATGCAAACAGTCCCAACCCAGACTTACCACTGCTAGGTCCGTTGTAGTACTGGCTAATGTAGCTGTTCATGTCGTCCTTCACTGTGGCTTCTACAGAGATGAGGACAGAGAAGGGCGCATGTGATGGTATGTCACTGTTTCAGCTAAGCTGCCCTCTCTGAGCCACTGTAAAATGGTGAGTGGTGGCTGCACTCCTGAGTTACTACCGAGATTATGGAGAGCTAACAGGCGGGTCAGATTCCCAAAAGTGGAGCCAGACACACAGAGGGCATCCGATACATACCTATGGAAGGCTGGGGAGGCCGCTGGGGATTTGCACACCCTCTGCCTTATCTGCCCGCTGAGGTCTGCAAGTGACAAGACCTGATGCTTTTGGAAGCTACCTTCTGAAGCACACCTGAGTGGGCTGCTGAAGCCAGGCCACCACCTTCAGGTCTAGAGGCTGAGTGCTAGAGGAACGAATCTTAAAAGATTTCTTTTGATCTCGAAATGCCTGTGGTCAGAGGTGTGTTCTGTGGGGGCTGACTCCAGGCCCCACTCCTGCATTAGCTAGACCAGACTCTCTGGCCATCCATAACCTTGGCTATAATTGCAGTCTGGCTCTGCCACTGTGCTAGGAAGCAGAAGGGACTGTTCCCAGCAAGCCGTGGTGGGTGCAGGGCCCCTGGGCCAAGGGGTCAGGGAGCAGGGGCTGTTCACTTGATCAGGTGTTGTTTTCTGAGGCCACCACTGACCTAGAGCTTTACAGAGCCTGAGACTGCCCTGCTTATGGGAACCCAAGGTAAACCCATTGTGACTGTAAACCTCACCACTGCCCCACTGCTCCTTCCAAAACCGGCATAATCACGCCCCTAAAGCAGCCTATACCCTGCAAATGTCTTTAACAACTCTGCTGACTCACACCAAGCTCTTGGCCAGCAGGTACTCTGCTCTCCTCTGTAGGCATGACAGAGAGCCGGGCCTTCAACACCCTGCACTCCTGTGACCCCTATCCAGACCCCTCACCACCATCCCAGACCTGGGGTGGGGAGTGGTAGTCCAGAGGGCAGCGTGCTAAGCAGCCTGCTTAGGCATCCCACGTCTCAGCCACCCAGGTGCCCCAGGCTTGTCTCCTCACTCTGCTGCCTACATGTCTGAGGAGGCCACCTCTTCACCAGGCTGTTGATAAAAATAAGCTCAGTCAGGTGACCTTCAGCCAAGACCATGCTCCTGAGCACTGACGGTCTGGCCAATGGTCCCTGGACCGCTGGATGACCTCCAGCTCCTTGTGACTCAACAAGTCCAAATCAGAATTCATGCTCTCTCTCTCCCCATGCACACAGCCTTCACCTTGGCCAATGGTCCTCCACCCCAACAGCAGATCCTGGTCACTGCCCAGGGCCTCTGCCTTCCTTAACAGCACCCCGACTTCCATCAACAGTGTGACCCCTCTGTCAAGGCCCTGCTTCTAGACTTAGGTGGCACCTCATGGCTTTTTCTCTAGCCTTTGACTTGTCTATCTAATACATTCAGAAAATGGGATCCCTTTGCAAAGTGACCTTCAAGGCCGAGTTGTGATTCAAAGCCAGACGTGAGTTCCAAATTCATTCAGGCTACTTCAAATACCACTCTGTGTCAGACTTTCTCAGGTCTATCCAACACGTTCTGGGGCTCTTATGGTCCCTGGCACTTTTTATCAGACCCACACACATGGGGCCAGCAAGGGGACCTTGTGTCCAGGAGCAGACAGATCCTGTCTCCTTCAAGGATCAACCCTGGGACCAGCTCAACTTCCTGCTCCCTGCTGCTTGGCGGTGGGAAGACCAAGGGCAGACTGGCCAGAGCCACCTCTGTGGTTGTTTCTCTGGACGCTGGTGCCGCAAGGGGGACGCCAAAGTTGTGATATATGGTGAAATCTGTGGCACTCCTACCAGGAGCTGTAATTCATAAGTTATGGGCGAGTTTCAAGACTAATAAATTTGGGAGAGAAGTATTAATGACTACACAGGGGCACTGTGAACTTGGCAGGCCCCAAAGCCTGGAACTTTGCAGCCCGGGTTTTAAAAATGATTTGTGCTAAAGCAAGTCTAAACAGAAGCCGGTCGGCATAGTCTGACTGTGACCCTGCTGGCAACTTCGGGAAGCTCTTCCCTCTCAGAGGAATGAGGCTGGGTTGGGGCTGGCGCTGGCACTCTTGCCCTCCCCGGCGGCCCTCCCCCACTTAAGGAGTGACAGCCAGGCAGAGGTGATGCTGGCCACGTCCCAAGGCTCCTGTGACTCACGGCTACGTCTGCAGGTTAACGCCCGGACTGTCTGTGTCCTATCGTGCATGCGGAGGGCCTCTGAGCCCTGCCAGCCTGGAAGTCACAGCTACTAACAAATGTTGCCCTTTCTTAATCTTCAGAGTGGCCCAGAATGCTCTTGGCTCGCCTGACTGTAATTTCTAATGTCATAGAAATCCCACCCCGGACATGGCTTCTGGTCAGAGAGACATCAGCTGGGGGATGCCCCGAGTCCCTGGACTGCTGCTACAGGCCGTGAATCATGGCGGCTTCTCTCAGCCCCCGCATTCTGCCCTCTGCTTTCCAAGGCACTGGCTGTGCCACTGAAGGCTCTGGAGACAGTTGTGAAAATGCAGATGGAGGATTGAACTGTGTGTGGGTGGCTGCCACACACGAGGTAGGTGTGCATTAAAAGGGAGGGAGGTACCCAGAGGTGCCACTGGGGCAGCAGGGAGCCGGGGTTGGCAAGGAAGGCATCTCGTCTGTTAGCACCATGTCCCTCCCCAGTGTGTTAGACTGAAGTTTTCAATTCCTGGTATCAGGATGCGAGCTTATCTGGAAACATGACTGCAGTGAAATCAGTCCCGGTGAGGCCATATTAGAGTAGGGCACACCTGTATAAATAGGGAGTTTAGACACAGACACAAAGGGAGATGCTATGTAAGGATGAAGACAGAGGCCGGGTCACGTGTCTACGAGCCAAGGATTGCCAACAGCCACCAAGAGCTACAGAAGTGGACGGAACAGACAGGTTCTCCATCAGGGCGCTCAGAGGGACCAACCCTACCAACAGCCTGATCTCAGACGCCTAATATCCAAAACTGTGAGGTTATTTCGATTGCTCGGGTCACTCAGCTTGTGGCATTTTGATATAGACATCTAACAAATGACCATATTACTCTAAGAGACTTAGGCATTTTCCAGAATGAGCACAGAGAACCAGTTGAGGTGCAGTGTCAGAGGTGACATGAAAGATTTTAGAAGGGCACTGTATGCTGGTGGGGGAGGTGACTGGTTCCTCACACCTCCCGGGAGGCAATGGAGCTGGCGAGTACAGCATCCCACCCTGCTTGCCCTTTCTAGTTCTGTTCTTGATGCAAAGGGTGAAGTCATTCCTGGATTAAGCTGACTTTGGTGTCCTGAAGGCTAAGGTCGCCCAACACCATCTCTTCCTGGCTGTGCGGCTGTTTTCTTTCCAGCCCTGCAAGGAACTCTCTTGACCACAGGTCAAAATCAGGGTCCAGAGAAGCAAAACTGCCTGCCCAGGGGAGAGCTGCTTGGAAGAAGAAATGGCCTTTGCATCTTGCTCCCTCGGTGCAGTAGCTGGCTGTGTACAGTCCCGGTACTGTCCCGTCCCAGTCACTACTCATGTTATGGCCCTCGATTTGCCCCATCTGCAAAGCTTAGGTCACAGGCTGTTCTGGTTTTCGGCCTGGACTTCTTTTCTGGGCTGTGGTAGGTGGCAGTCCACTAGGAGGGTCTCAGACCTCCAACTCGGAGCCCGGCTCTACCACGTGATGGTTAATGCTATTTTTGTCAATTTGACAGGCTAATCACCTAGGAGACAAACGCCTGGGCACTGGAGGTTCTGTACTGAAGATCCCCTGGTTAGTTGCTGCCCCTGGGCTCTGGGAGGTAGTTCTGAGGGCGCTGACCTCTGAGTGCCACCGCAGGTCGGGGCAGATGAGAAGGTACAGACCTGCGAGAAGTCGCCCCAGCTCCTGGAATCCTGTGTCCCACCCAACCTCTGTGTGCAGAGCCCTGGAAACGGGTGAGGGAGGAACCCGTGGGACTCTGGGGACCGGACCGTGGGCTCACCTTGAGCGGGCCTCATCTCCTCCACGATGCTCTCGGCCGCAGTCTCCTCGGCCCACGTGCCGGCCTCCACTACCTTGTAGCGGCTGCGTGGCTGGCTGAGCACGTGAGGGCCTTGCAGCGCCGCCTCCCGCTCGGCAGCCAGATCCAGGTCCTGCTGGGCCAGGTGCGCGCGCAGCTGGCGGATCTCAAACTGCAAGAAGCAGAAAGGTGAAGGGTGGGTGCGCTGGTGGGTTAGGGTGGGGTGGTGTGGGAGTGGGCACGGGGTCCGCAGCCTCGCTAGGAGCTTTGCCCCTGGATGGCACACTAGGATGTGGGGATGAAAGGGCGGAGCACCCCAAGGCAGGACGCTGGACTCCTTAGCATGCTCTCACTAACACTAAACACACTAGAACCTTTTACAGTGAGTGCGAGCCCTTGTCTCGGAAACTGGGAGGCCAGGCCCTACTCTAAGAAAACGGCTGTGACTAGGAAGACAATTGTAGTTTGTAGAAAGACCACTGGACCAGCGGTGAGGAAATCTGATTGGAATCCGCCTCTAACTACTTGTGCGCCTCTAAGGAATAAAAAGGAAAGCTCTCTTTAGGTTGCTCCGAGAGATGCTGAATGGAAGTCAGGAGGCTCCCCATACCCAAGCTAGCACGACTGAAGCATTCTGGCTTCACACACATGCTGGTCCGGCTTATTAGTCTTCCAGTAATATCCATTTCCGCTTCCACGAGTTGTGGGAGGTGCCTCTCCACTAGATAGTACCTGGATATGTGAGCTTGGGAAGGCCTTTTCACTTTCTCTGGCCTCAGTTTCCTGGTTTGTATGTAAATGCAGTTTTATATCTCTGAGTTTTATGTCCCTTTCTGAAGATGTGGTAAAATAAAAATCTCAGCGGTAACACCATCATCATCATCTTTGTTAGAAAGCTTCTTAGGAAGGCTTCTAAATGTCTCGCGTTTGCGACTGAAATGGGTGTCCACACTCCAAATCTTACTGGGACATTTAAGTGTGTAGGACAATGGTCTATGTGTGCTAAATGGTAATGAGTATTCACTGCCACCTAGTGTTCAAAGTACACATTGTACCCCATCTAACCTGGCGAGGGTGCAATGCTATTCTATTACCTACTTGTCCATGAGACCCCAAAACAGCCCAGACCCCTTATTAGAATGTTGGATTTGCACCTCCAGCGGCCGCTTATGATCACCATGTAGCCAGTTCGCTTGGTCAGAACAGCACTCCACTGTCCCCCCACACCTGTCCCTCGGCGGTTTTTTATCTCATGTTAGCTACAGCCAAACAATGTCCTCTCGGCATCCAGCCCTTAGTCCAGCTCCACCCACAAGTGCTCTCCAGTTCTATGCTGGCCATCCACTGACAGCCGCACATCTGCACATGGACTCTGGCCAGCCTACATCAGATCATGACACCCCTGTCCGTCAGTCTTAGCGGTTTACCACCTCACTTGGGAGAAAGCCCAAACTCCCTGCCCTTGGCTCCAGAAGCCTCCACACCGCCTGTTTCCTCAAGAGTCCGGCTGTTCTGTAAAGGCACAAGGTACTTTCCCAACTGCTCCCTCTGTCCCAGATCACATGGCTGACCGCCACCCAGAGGGCCTTACCCTGGTCTCTCACCTACCACCCCCAGTCACATCGGCCCCTGAAGCCACGCATCACACTGACTGCATGCATTCAGCTACCTTCGTCTCCCTCCCTCCCTCCCTTTCTTAGACAAGGCCTCACATGGTCTCAGCTAGCTTCAGACTTCTTAAATTCCCGATGCTTGGCCCCCCACCTTTTGAGTGCTGGGGTGCTCCTATGCCCTGGTTCCATGCAGCTCTGGGACGGGAGCCCAGGAGCCCAGGGCTTCCTGCACGCTAGGCAAAGCACTCTGCCAACGGTGCCACACCCACAGGCCTGTTTTCATTTTTTATTTATTTTTATTTTATGTGCATTGGTGTTTGCCTGCATGTGTATCTGCGTGGAGGTGTCAGAACTCCTGGAACTGGAGTTACAGTTATGAGCTGCCATGTGGGTGCTGGGAATTGAACCCGGGTCCTCTGGAGGAGCGGCCAGTGCTCTTAACCACTGAGCCATCTCTCTAGCCCCCAATTCATTTCTTTTTGTGAAATAAGTAAAACACGAGCAGATCGGAAAGCATTTACTCACACGAGAATGGCCTAGCAGTGACCTGGTGGGGGTCAACTCCCAGTGTTAGCGCCTGCATGCTGTGTCTGGGACCGCTCATGTTTCCAGAAAGTTCATTAATCTGTCATTGATGGGACTCTGCTGGGTGCTCTGCACTGGGAGCTGGGCCATCGCCAGGGAGGGGGACTTTCTCTTAACTCTTGTATCTGTCTCTTAACCCTGTATCTCTCTCCCCAGTACCTGCCCAATCCAGAGCCTGGGTGCTGCGTCTCTGGTTTCATTTCTCCAGAGGACAAACCCATGGCCTCTTGTAGGGCGGAGTCTGGCCTTCTGGCCAGACAAGCCTTGGGGTATTTTAAATTTGTGTATGGACTTTTACCCAGTCCCCTTGCCCTGACGTTCATTCCACACTGCACCCCTTCCTCCCAGAATCTCCGGGGTTCCGAGGGCAGAACCGGTACCATTTCCCTCTCCTGTGGTCGCGTCAGTCACGATTTTGTCCACTTTGCCTAAAGCCCTTGAAATCTGTCCCCTCTCTGACCCAGCCTCCAAGGCTTGTTTCCTAAGTTCTATGCATTTGGGGTCTCCCTTCAGCTCTCCTCTTAGTGGCATCTGCGACGCCATCGGGTGCAAATGTGTGGTGACAGCACTCATGAGTCTACCTTTCACACCAACCACCCCAGCGTGTGCTGATAGAGAAGAAACAACCTTCATAGGTACCAAAAATGCCGCCAGGAAACCAGCTACTTTGCACGCAAATTAATTAATTAATTAATTAAACCACGAAAGAACCGAACCCGAGTAAAATCCACTTAATTCACAGTGTGTGCCGCTGTCCGGACTGCGTTACACAGACCCATCTTGGTTGATTGCAAGCTATTAGCACAATGTCATGGGAAACTGAGAAACGAGAGTGATTGGTTCCTCTAAGCTCGTAAGAGCCGCGGCACACCAGCGCCGTGATCCCCTGCACCCCCGAAAGTATATGCAGAAGCACACAGACCTTGTCTGTGCTGTTGTGTATACCCAGGAGACACTCGGGGGCAGCTGAATAAATGAAGTAAAATTAGTTAGCTTCTTCACCCTGTGGTTTCAGACTAAGCCTAACTCTAGGTACAGCCTGTGCTTCAATAGCCCAAAGTAGAGACAAAGATTGTGCCACATACACTGAGCCCAGATCCTGGCCATAGACTGAGCCCTGATCCTGGTTACATACCCAGTATGGACTCAGCAGTCTCAGCCTCCACTACTGGCCATACACTGAACCCTGACTTTGGTCACACATGAAAATGGGTCTTTGTTATACTTTATCAACCCCAACCTGGGTCTGATATGGACCCTCAACCCTGGCACAGTCACAGTCCTAACTCTTGACTCAAGACACTGGATCTCAACAACCCAGCAGTCAAATGGGACTGGCAGTCTCAGGAGTGTGAGAAAATACAGCTTTCAAATTTTATGGTGGCTTTTTCTGGAGGGAGCAGTAAGGGGCCACTTCTCTAGAAACAAGGTCCTGAAGGTCAATAAGAGCCCATGAGGTAACCTTCCCAAGCTCTGTGGGGCTGGGAGCCCCCTTGCCTAGGCTGATGGGAACTTCCCATGGGCACATGCAGCCACTTTCTCCAAGGCCATGCATCAGAGCTGCAGGCCCAGCTAAAGGCTTCTGAGGCCCCTCGGAGGGGATGCATTATTGATGGCTTGTAATCGATATGGAGCTGCTCCGGGGAGTCTCCCTGGAATTCAGGCCAGCCAGCCGGAGGTCAGGGCCTGCCCAACCCAAGACCACATATGCTCAGAAACAAGTTTTGAACTGAAGATGTGAATACTAAGTCCATGTAGTTTTCTCATTCATTCAGAAGTCAGGTAGGGGCCATGTTAAAATTCTGCATGCCTGCCCTGGCTTCAAGGTGAGTGTCCTGTGATCCCAGGGAAGAGATGACTTGTGCCACATTACCCCTGAGAGTCACAAGTCTTGTCCTGGAGTAGTGCCCGAGGCAGAGGAGGAATACAGGAGATGCAGGGAAAGGTTACCCAGCAGAGCATGTTACCACGGAGAGAGGTTATAGGGACCTCAGCCTAAAGAGCATCAGGAAACAGCTGTAATTTCACACAGGGCAGAGTGGTGGGCATTAGTGCTGTGACCCAGAGGCACGATCGAGGGCACCTTGCTGACCGCAGGCTGGAGAAAGGGAGGTGTGGGGATACCTACCCGGACCTACTGCAGTGGTCCAGACCAGAGATGGCCAGATTTGGACTACGATGAAGGCAGGGCTGAAGGAAATAAGAGGGAAGTGGGTGGGAGGTGGGGTGGGGGAGGAGTGAGCATGTCCCTACACGATGTATACTGAAGTGAGGGTAAGAGAGAGGGCAGCCTGCTAAAGACGTAGCTGGGTTTTATCTCATTTTTTTTTTTGTAGACAAAGGTCTGACTAAGTAAACCAGGCAGTCCTCAAACACACAGTGGTCCACCTGCCTCAGTACTGGTGTCGGCAGGGCTAGGTTTTTAGATGCTGGGTGGCTGGGTGGTATCTGGCTTCACCCTGAGTAAGAATGGCTGATTCGTTATGCGAGAACTACAGATGGGCCAGATGGCATTCCACTCTGGCCACTGGCTGAGACCGCCCATGGGGGTTTCTCAGTGTGCCCCAGTGAGACCCTTAGGCACTGGCTCCTGACTCTTCTGCTACTTAACACTACTCCATACACCTCCCCCGGCTGACTGGAGGGTTGTTAGAGGAATGTCAGGCTGTTGTTAGTCAGATGAGTTAATTGAGGCTTGGAGGTGGAAGGAGCCTCCAGTGCTGGTGGGAAGGGGGAAGGGAAGGCCAGGACCACTAGGTGTGACGGAAGCAAAGCCAAAGATGGAGCCCTTGCCCTTGGCCTCCATCCTCTGCGACCTTGTGACAGGGAACTAGAGCCTAGAGGGTGAGATGGGGTGGGTCAGCTTGGCAGCAGGAGAAGAACACCAGGTCCCCACAGGAACAAAGTCGGGCTTGGGGGAGGGGCTCTGAGCCCTTGTCTGTCCGTCCGTCCCTCCCATCACGCTGGATATATC